CAAACCCAAGCCCATGGGCAAGCAGGTGGCCCTGACCTTTGACCTTTGACCCCTGACCTTTAACACAAACCCTGACCCTAATCCTGACCCTAAAGCTGATTGAGACCCTGACCTAAGCTGAGCCTAAACCAACCCTGAGCTCATGGGCAAGCAGGTGGGCTGTGAGACCTGACCTTCCACTCCTGACCTTTGACCCCTGACGTTTGTCCCCTGACCTTTGACCCGCAACCCTGATCCTCACCGCTCACCCTAATCCTGACCCTAATGCTGATCCAGACCCTGACCAAACCAGAGCCTAAACCAAACCTGAACCCATGGGCAAGCAGGTGGGCCCTGACCTTTGACCCCTGACCTTTGTCCCTAATCTGCTACCCTGCCCCCCAACCTTGACCCTAATCCTGACCCTAATGCTGATTCAGACCCTGACCTAAGCTGAGCCTAAACCAACCCCGAGCCAATGGGCATGCAGGTGGTCCCTGACCTTTGACCTTTGACCTTTGACCTCTGACCTTTGGCCCCCAACCCTGACCCCCAACCCTGACCCCCTGTCCTGCCCCTAATCCTGACCCTAATACTGATCCAGACCCTGACCTAACCCGAGCCTAAACCAAACCCAAGTCCATGGGCATGCAGGTGGTCCCTGACCTTTGACCTTTGACCTTTGACACCTGACCTTTGGCCCCCAACACTGACCCCCACCCTGACCCTCAACCCTGCCCGTAATCCTGACCCTAATGCTGATCCAGACCCTGACCTAACCTGAGCCTAAACCAAACCCAAGCGCATGGGCAAGCAGGTTGGCCCTGACCTTTGACCTTTGACCCCTGGCCTTTGACCCTAACCTGCAACCCTGACCCCCAACCCTGACCCTGATGCTGATCCAGACCCTGACCTAAGCTGAGCCTAAACCAACCCCGAGCCAATGGGCATGCAGGTGGTCCCTGACCTTTGACCTTTGACCCCTGCCCTTTAACCCCGACCCTGACCCCAACCCTGACCCCCAATCCTGCCCGTAATCCTGACCCTAAAGCTGATCCAGACCCTGACCTAACCTGAGCCTAAACCAAACCCAAGCCCATGGGCATGCAGGTGGTCCCTGACCTTTGACCTTTGACCCCTGACCATTAACACCAACCCTGACCCTAATCTTGGGCCTAATGCTGATCCAGAACCTGACCTAAGCTGAGCCTAAACCAACCCTGAGCTCATGGGCAAGCAGGTGGGCTGTGACCCCCCGAGCTTTGACCCCGGACCTTTGACCCCTGACCTATGACCCCTGAGCCTTGGGATATTTTCCTCTTCCATTTTTTGGGGATTTTTTTCCTTTTCCCTTTCCTTTTTTTTTGTTTTCCCTCCCCACTTTCTTTCATTACCTTTCTTTTTTCCCCCCATATCTTTCGGGTTCCCTTCCTCTCCCCATATCTTTGGGGTTTGTTTCCTCTCCCCATATCTTTGGGGTTTCCTTCCCCTTCCCATTCATTTGGGATTTTTTCCTCCCCCCTTTTCTGAGGGATTTTTTTCCTTTTCCGTTTCCTTACTTTGTTTTTCCCTCCCCAATTTCTTTCTTTGCCTTTCTTTTCTCTCCCCATTTCTTTGAGGATCCCTTCCTTCCCCCATATCTTTGGGGTTTCCTTCCTGTCCCCATTTCTTTGGGGTTTCCTTCCTCTCCCCATTCACTTGGGATTTTTTGCTCTTCCATTTTTTTGGGATTTTTTTCCTTTTCCCCTTCCTTTCTTCGTTTTTCCCTCCCCAATTTTTTTCTTCACCTTTCTTTTCTCCCCCCATTTCTTTGGGATTTCCTTCCTCTCCCCATATCTTTGGGATTTCCTTCCTCTCCCCATATCTTTGGGGTTTCCTTCCTCTCCCCATTCACTTGGCATTTTTTGCTCTTCCATTTTTTTGGGATTTTTTTCCTTTTCCCTTTCCTTTCTTCGTTTTTCCCTCCCCAATTTCTTTCTTCGGCTTTCTTTTCTCCCCCCA